GGGAAAGTCACATTTATAGTACAATTCTTAGTAGTTTAAAGAGGATGCTTGTGTAGCTGAATAGAACAAAATATTAAAGAGATATAAAAAAAGAATTGGTTCACCGCATATGTATTTATTTAATACATTGTGGTGTTTAAAAAGTGACAATTTTTTTTATACCATTAATTTGCGCAGAACTGCTGCAATTGATCATAAAGCAGTTGTTTGGAAAAGAAGCTCGAGGCGGAGAAAGAGCTAGAGAACAGGACAATACAAATTTCAAAAAGTGGCTGGAAAAGAGGAATTCGTGACATGGCTGCAGCCTTTCGAGAGTAAAGATGATTGCAATTCTATATCTAGCCCTATAGCTAGCTCTATGAGGTCCTCCAAGTTAGCTGGCTCATCGTAAAATGTAAGCTCGTTCCTGACTTGTTCATTTAGGGCAAGGAGATAAGTGGTCTTAAGCGCAGACTCGTTCCAGCCGGAAGCGGCTGCTTTAACCTGGAAATCAGAAGAAAACTCGGCAACGGATCTATCTCCCTGTTTAGTTTCAAGAAGTCCACTAGAAACGATGGACTTATTAGTGACCTGATTAAAGGTCCTTTCACATTCCTGGATGAATTTCTCATAAGTACAGTTAACTCTAGTTTTAAGCGGAAATCTGGTCTCCACCCATTCAAGGGCTTGACCGGACAGGAAAGACATGACAAAAGCTATCCTACTATTATCATAAAATTCCAAAAAGAGCTGACACTGGAACAGAAATCTCTTGAACTTACTTGGGTTGCCGGAAAATCTCTCAGGCAGTGAAGGGCTGAGTACTGAAAATGACGGGCTGGGTTCTGACCAGAAAGGAAGATTACTATCTTGACCAGGAAGTGACGTCACTACCGGTGACCTAGGAAGCGGAAGTGGATTCGGAGCAGGACGTGCCGCTGACGTGGCGTTAGCATTACCCATGTAGCTAGCAAATGTTTGATGCATTTGATTCTGATGTAACTCACGGAGGGTTTGTGCATGTCCATGGATCTGAGC